GGAAGGAAGGAAGGAAGGAAGGAAGGAAGGAAGGAAGGAAGGAAGGACATGCCTATCAACAAAAGGAGACATGTAATTCATAAACATAGTTTGCTATTACATTTACACACTATCCTACCTTTATCTTGTCCTTTGCTCTCCTGATTAGGTTTATCTACTTCAGGACTCAGAGGTTTCTCTTCCTTTCCTGTCTCCTCCTGAGTTATCAAAGTATCTGAAAAGAGGTGTTGGGTGAGATTATATGGAATAATGTCCAGGAGATACCATTAGTATAGTTTACAATATTTCCCCCAAATAATACACCACATGGTTATAAGGTTTGTACTAGGTAGTATGTTGCTGTAGTCAATCCAGCTAAAGACCCCTCACATCTTGAATTAGTCCATAAAACCCAATTTCATGAAATGGCTATCAATACACAGTTTTCTATGTATAGGACTTGAGCGTAACTCTTTATGACACTCACTTGTCAGTAAACAGTTTGCCCAGTTGGGGAATTTAATTTAATGTTAAGTGGTTCAAATCTACTGGTTATTTGGGCTGAGAAACATTCAGTACACAATATCTAAATTTCTATTAAATTCAAAATAAATAAAATAGGTATATACAAAAGATGATTGGGCTATTCAGTAAAACCTAACAGGATTTAACAGACACAGCAATGGGAATAATACATATTTCCATAAAACCATTTAAGTAATGGAAATTCTCTGGAATATATAATTATTATTTCTTGCTCAGGGTCCCAAACTAGAATCTAAAAAAGACATTTGTTCCCCAGATCTATATTAAAATACTAGTCGTAATTAAAAATAATGTTTCAAATGGTATGGACTTTATAAATAATTGATTGAACATTTTGAACATTTCCCCTCTTCTTTTGAACAAAAACTACCTTCAGCTTCCATGTAAGAGATCTGAGAATCTGCCTGAGTATTCATTTCAACTTCTGAGGAATCATCTTGCAATCCTATTGTATTAAAACATGGAAAATGTTGTCAGTATGATATTAATGTGTATTTTTAATTTAAGAAATGTTTAACAATAAAAAGGCTACTTTATTTCACTGAAAGGAAGATGTTCATCATTTAAGACAGTCCTCCCATACAGGAAGATAGACACAAGATGCAAAACCTCTGCACATTGCACATGCTGGTGAATGGAATTAATCACTATTGAATAAAATGAATTGTCTGTAAATTAATAGTTTGCAAAATCATTTTATTCCCCACTTGCATAAAAATATTTCACATACAAACTATTGTACTTCAGAGAGGGGAGGAGAAGCTATCTGGGCTCATGCATCCTTATTGTGTACTAAGTACCATTTAGTTTGTGATGCTTTCTATATGACAGGGGTATCAAACTGGATTTCTTTGAGAGCCCAATCAGCGTTGTATTTCTTTTTTGTGGGCCGGATAGCGTGGGGTGGGGCCAGATGCCTCCTGCAGCACCCCGCCAGCTCCGTTTTGGCTGGCAGCATGCTGCAGGAGGCTGTCCAGGCCAAAAATGGGGTGCAGAGGGGCACATGCAGCCCCTCATGCCCCATTTTGGCTGCCAGAGGCACCGCGGGCCAGTCATTTGCTATTTCCAGGCCAGCCCCGCAGGCCGGATTTAAGCATCCCACAGGCTGGATCTGGGCCACAGGGCTTGAGTTTGACACCTCTATTTGGAGATATCTATAGGCTTGGCCTTTTTATTGGCTGATAGAAGGCTTTGTGATGGGCTGCAGACACAAGGGACCATCCCCAATCTTGTGCTATAGCAAATCTCACACAATTCAGTATCTTTTACTCCCAGGTAAGTTTTGCATAGGAGTTTCAGCCTGCTGCATGCTAGCTTCATTCTCATTTCATTCCCATCCATCCATAAAAGCTGAGTGTAGTAAAGACTCTCCTTATCCATTGAGATAGCATTTTTATGGCCTGAGATTCTAATAAGAGAGAGTAAAAAAGAGAAGGAAGGGCAATGATACATGTCCCTATGGACTTATGATATATAGCAGCTTCTTCCCTTCTTTTGCTCAGCTTCATATCACTTGTTTTCAATTGCCCTCTTATTAGTTGCCTTTCACCTTTCCTGTTCACTTTCTGTATTTTCAAAGCATGCAAGATGACCCCATTCTTAAATCACATTTGGGGAGAAAAACTCATCTTCATTTCTAATAAACATGATACTGATCAGAACATGTGTACAAAATTAGAGACTACACTACTGAAATTGATTATTGAAGTTTTGGAGTGTTGCCCTTAGCCATGTATGAAACAAGTTGATTTAAGATGTGAAGAAGCAAATTGATATTATTAATGAAAAGAACTGTTGATCCCATCAAACTATTTATTATGATTCTGTAAAGGCTTGTAGAAGACATACCATCAGCTTGATCTTCTTCACAGGTTGCATGAGGCACTGGATTAGGCTCTTTTGTATCTGGGGATTCTACAGAAAAATAAAACAAATAAAAATGACTTTGCTTCTCTATAGATTTTCTGAGCACTTTTTATGAAGCCTCGCAGTTTTAAAGGTATTTAAAATAATGTTCACAATGTTTGATTGATTGACATTATATTACATTAAATTACAATGAATACAATTATTGAATTTTTAATATAAAATACTGAAACCACTAACAAATTTATGAATACACTTTGATTATATTCTTCTTCATCAATTTTGTTTTAATAGAATTTATAACAATCATATTCATTCGCCCGAAATTCTGAAATATCTCACTAAGCAAAAACTCAGAATAAGGATTATGCAGATAGCAAAAATGGTACTTAATTTTAGGATTACCAAGGCAGAGATGTTATAGTTTTGGTGATTTCACAATTAACTCTTTCCCATAATAATAGAATGAACTGAATTTTACATGGAAAATAAAATGTAACCCACACATCCTTGTATTTTGGAACAGTTCACTCCGGACAACAATTATTCAGCCTCATGACCTGGGTTGTCTTGTCAGCATTCGGATCAGAGGTGGTATTCAGCAGGTTCTGACCAATTCTGGAGAACCGGTAGCGGAAATTTTGAGTAGTTCGGAGCACCGGCAAATCCCACCTCTGACTGGCCCTGCCCCCATCTACTCTCTGCCTCCCGAGTCCCAGCTGATTGGCTGGGTCTTCTTTTGTTGCCCTGCACAGGAGAACGGAGCTGGAAAGCAGGTTAGTGGAGTGGGGTGGGAATGGAGATTTTACAATATCCTTTCCCTGCTACCCCCACCAAGCCACGCCCACAGAACCGGCAGTAAAAAAAATTTGAATCCCACCACTGATTCAGATGGTCACCTCCAAGGAGGAAACCACAGTGCTCTCCTTTTCCTCTCCTGGAAATCATTTCAGGAAAAGCAGGTAAAGACTTCTTTTTTTAAATATTTTTTTATATCAATCTACACGTACTCAACAATGCATTAACTATATGGCATCAATATATCATACATTTTAGTATAGGCAAGCTTAATAGTACCAATCATATTTCTTAATACCCACATTCACATTAAACCAAAATCCTTCCTTGTTTATTTTCAACATTACAATACTCTCTCCTAATGCCAACCACCATATCAGTTAGACATACCTAATAATTTCATTATTCAATTTCCTCGTCAATTTTTTTTTTAAATAAAAAATTCTCATTTGGCAAGCAGTGTGGTTCCAGGTTTCAATACAATACAAATCATATTTACCTATTCATTTTGTTTGTTCAATTTCATATCACATTACCCTTATTAGTATTAAATATTAAACTTATCCAATTCCAATTCATATTATAACTTATTTCATTCATTAGAGTATTCTTATACCTTATTTTACAATATTATTTGAAATTCTCATCTCATTTCTATGTTAATTTCCCATAGTACCTTTATCTGTCATATTTGCAATTTTATCAACCCTTAGTTTATTAATTCAAAATTGTCCCCTCCAATTATTGATTCAAGCCAACCATCTTCAATTTACCTTAATACCATCTTTCTATTTACTATATAACATATATGGTTTTTTTGTCAGATTCCACATTATATTTTCTCAGTCACCTTATAAATCATCTATACATTACAAAAATATTAGTCTAATCAATTAATTATAGCAACTGATATTAATCCTTCCATAATAGTTCTCATTTCATCATCTTCCCCCCTTTTCTTATACATCATTAATCATCAATACATGATATTTGTATTATAAATTCCCAATACCATATTTATTCCATTAAATTCCATGTCTAGTATAACAATAATTCTTTAATAACAGGAAAGAGAAAAAAAAGAAAGAAGCTAAAAGGAAAAAAAACACATAATTCTTATCTATTTTCAATACTTATTCATTTTTATCACAACTTATTACCTTGCGGAATCTCCTTCCTATCCTCTTTTTTTATTTTACCCATTCTCTCTTGCTCTTTTAACAATATAGTTTCTTTTCATCCTCATTTGCTTCCTGATTCTCTTTATTTTCTGGTCCTTTCTTTTAATTTCCCCTTTCCCCATTCTTATTCCTCTCCATTTCTCATTCCAATTATTAACTTTTTCTCACTCCCTCTTTAGATTTTTCTTTTGAACTTCCCTTTTCAGCTTTTTCCCTCTCCTTTTTTTTCATTTTCCAAACCATTTTTCCTTTTATTATCACATCACAGGTAAAGACTTCTTACATGTTATTTTTCCAATTCTAAATAAACTAGAGGGGAGAAAAGGCCTCTAGCCCATGCTCAGCCTTTACTTTTTCTACCCCCATGAAAAAAATTAATATCATTTCTAGAAATAGCCAGCTTTGTAAAGAAGACTTGGCCTGTACTCTCCGTAAATAAACCATTGAATAAACTTCACAAATAAAACTTCCCAATCTAAGAATAACAGCGTAGATACGCAAAGGAATGTTGTGCAGAACAAACTCCTTCAAATCAAGCATCTGGTGCTGAATATGTATAAGTCCTTGCTTGATCAGCTCAGCATGCAAAACCCTTAACAGAACTTTAGCCATGCTTGGAGGATGAGGATGGGAGTAGAAAGAAGGAACTAAATCTGAATCCTCTCCAATCCCAGCTTCCTTGTTCTGCTGTCAAAAAATGCAAAATCTCTGGAATGAATATACTTTTACCTTTAACATTGTGATGAAGATGGGAGTCTCACAGTAAGTGAGAATCTCAGTTGATCTTCCTCCTTTTGAAACTTAGCCATCTTCAAATATCCCATGGTTAAGCTTTTTCATAATTTAGAGACTTGGAGTCAACCAGATTAATGGCAAGATATGGTGTAGTTGAAATGTAAAATACTTAGAGAAGACCAAGTTGCCATTCCTAAATGTGTATATCATTTATTAAATAATACACTCAATAACTACGGTAGCTGTTGTAATGGTATGCAATCTATGCCACAAAAGCCATTGTTATTTCAAAACATCAGCCTTAATGCTATTTTATCTCCAGCTGGGTCACATCCTACTAAAACTTGGACTAATATATCTAGCAGTAAGCAATGAACTAAAGAATAGCATGAAAGTAACAGCTTCTAAAGGCTGCCAAATACAATCATTGTGGGATGTATGGGAAACCTGGGCAGTTAACATCTGATCAAAGTTTAATAATCTGTAAAATGGGAATGCATCAAAAGTTGGTGATTTTAATTAATTGTACATAATTCCCCAAGGCAAATATTTAATTACCTACACAGCTTGTTTGTTCAAAGACAAAGTCAAAAGTTGAAGTAGAACTCTAGTATACATATTTTTCAAATCATTTGTACTTAAGCTTCTCAAATTAATCTACAGAATATTATTAATTGTATTTTAAATGTAAAATGCTTTCTGCCAATACTATCAAAATAAGAAAGGGAAAGAGACTTTTGAATTAAATCACGGAAGCAGAAAATGCTAGGCAATTTAAACAATCCTGATTAACAGTATGCTACAAACAAGGAACAGGTGTACAGCAGAAAAGTGCCTGCAGAGCAAATAACTTCAGACTATTCAAGCAAGCCAAGCCACAGGAAAGGGAAAGAAAGGAAGGAAGGAAGGAAGGAGAATCTCATTAAATAATCAGTAAAGTGATGTACCTTGTCCCAAATTTATCACACATTAGGCATTTGCTAATTACTAGTCACAATACTAGCAACTAAAATAGACTTTAATTCACATTTTGAACAGCAGCAAGATGATCCATTAAAATATTTTTGTGTTGAAGCAAGTGTTGCCAGTATTCAGTATAATCTCTGTATGATCTTTTTTTCATTGTTTCTATGTCAACATTAATAAACAATTCAATACAAATAGACAAAAATCAAACCAATTACTATATATATATATATATATATATATATATATATATATATA